GAATTGTTCTTATTATGATTTGAATAATTTGACTTTAGTTCTTAAGTTTTCATTTGTGTTCTGTTTGGATCAATTAAGCAGGTACAAATTTTGCAAAATTGGATATACAAAATTTTAAACAAAAATTTTCAGATTTGGTTAGATTAGCGACCGAATTTTTGGTCGCTACAAATATATTATAATATACAATTGAAATTTAGCGACCAAAATTATTCGGTGACTATTTTTATGACCGATTTAGCAACCAATTTAAATTATTATTTAAATAATTCAATTAATGTATTAGCGACCGATTATATCGGTCGCTATTATTTTTAACTTTGCCTCCAATTTAGCGATCGATTTAATATATTAACTTTTGTCGCTATTTTTGCGACTGATTTAGCGACCGATTTTAATTATTATTTAAATAATTTAATTAATATATTAGCGACCGAATATATCGGTTGCTATTTTTTTAAACTTTACCACTGATTTAGTGACCGATTTATTATATTAATTTCGGTCGCTATTTTGGTCTTTAAGGAATAAGTAACCAAATTATTTAGCGACCACCTTCTCGGTCGCTATTTTGCGACCGAAATGTAAATCGGTCGCTAACAAATTAGCGACTTGACCTTTTGCGACGACCCATTTCGGTCGCTAATTTCGGTCGCTAACTGAATAACGACCGATTTTTTGCCATTAGCGACCGATTTTTTTGGTCGCTAATAGTGTTTTTTCTTGTAGTGCGTAAGGCTAATCAAGTTAGGTTGGGTTACCTGTTTTTATAGCTATAATTGTAGGGCTTAGGTCCAGCTAACATATAGGTTTATGGATTAACCCGTTTTATAGAATAATTATTATTTTTTAAATAAAATCAAAGTTATATTATTTTATTAATATATATATATATATATATATTATAAATTAATTTGACAAAATATTCACTTATTCTAAAAGTAAATATCATAATAAATCTCTAATGATTAATATTAATTATTATTTAAATTAATAAATTACTAAAAAAGAAATAATGATAATAAAAATATAAATTTTTAATTCTTATTTTGATATTCAATGGACGCATTCTCTAATAATTTATATTAAATCATAATATCTTAAATAAAAACTAATTTTATTAATAAAATTTAAATTTTTAAAATACATTTTTATTTTTTATTTATATTTAATTTTTTTAAAAATAAAATCAAAGTTATATTTAAATTTTTTTAATTCAATTAAGCTAAAATTAGTTTGTTAGACCTATAATATATGGTCAGGTTAAGCTAAAAAATTTTGTCCGTTTTAAAATATAAATCAAGTTTAACTATCAAATTTTGTCACTTGACCTGTAAGGTTAATCAAGTTAGCTTGGGTTACCTGTTTTTATAGTTATAATCATAGAGTCAAATAATGATATTACTATATTAAATGTATTTAATGAAGTTATATCGGGTTTTGTACTTTCAATGCACTACATTGCGAATGAAACGTAATGAGATATTACTTAGAAGTGTGGTATTTACTCAAATTTTGTCACATTTATGAAAATTATTTCGATGTCATAAGAAGAAAAAAGAAAATTATTTGTTCAACAATAGTCAACCAAAAAGATGTTGAATATGCATTTGAAGTCTTTCAATCTTGATTTACAATTATATGTGGTCTGACAATTTTTGGGATGCTCATATATTAAAAAACATAATTTATGCATGTATCATATTATACAATATGATTATTGAGGACAAACGACATATTTATCAAAATCATGTTGATTATGATATTAGATAACATGGCATGCGAACTATTGATATAAGGCTTCATCCCAGTTTTAGATCTATGTACTTTCAAAGGATAACAATGGTTCAAGATAAAAACACTCAACATCAACTTTAAGTATATTTGATCAAATATATTTGACAAAAATTTAGAGGAGAAAATGATGAAAATTAATTTAATGCAATATATTTTCTAGTATTATTTGATTTTCATTATATTTATTTAAATATTATGTATTTCATATTATTTTTAAATTAAAATATGATGGGGTGTTATTGTTAAGTGGTAAAAAGTTGATATAATTATACTTTGAATTATTATGAAATCACTTAACTTATGTTAATTCTAATATATTTTTCTCCCAATATAGGATGAATTCGAGAATATCTTGATACAAGAGCAAAGATCATAATTGTGAAGTAATTGAAGAAAAATTGAAAGAAAGAAGAACGCTTAAGCGAATGAATGATGCGAAGTCCGACCCAAATTCTCTTATAAAAAGATAAGATGTGTTTTGAGAAAGGAGGCAATTTTTGGAGAAGAAGAGGTGTGACTACTGCTAGGGTTTCATCCAATCTTCATCAATTTTTCACTTCTTCCACATTTGGAGTATTGTAATGGCCAACATGAGTGACTAACTTCATTCTCTTAGGATTTGGTGCACTTCCTTTGAACTCTTTTGTATCATGGTGATATTTTAAGATATTAATCTATGTTTTGATGTTGTTATTCTTATCCTTTGTGTTTTGGAATGAATTATTATTGATGTTTGGGGCATGATTGGAAAATATATCTTGAACTCTAGATCACGGTAAGAATATTTGTTATGTTAATTGCCAGGAATGGAATGAATGTATCAATTGCTTAACATCCTAAACCTAATGCTGGAAAATCTCTTAATTGTGTGAGGAATCAACATTTATTAGGTTTTCTTATGAATTTCATGCGTGAAGAATCAACATGGATGACTTGAGTAGGTGACATCAACATTGTTAAATTAATTAACGTTCTTAATTGACATAACCATTACAAAAGAGGAATAAGGAAGGAAGTCAATCTTAAATGTCTTTAATTGATATTTTCTCAACAATTTACCGTTCTTTATCATTTAATTTCAATTCAACTCTTTATGCAAAACTCATTCTGTTTTAATCTACTTAGTAAGCATAAAATCAGGAATTTTCATTGAAACCGTTCCTCGTGGGATCGACTTTTATTTAATCGAAATACTATACTCGCGATTGATAATTTTGGTACGCTTGTCAATAATTCAACAAGTTATTAACTAAAGTAATTAATTATTTGAATATATTTATTTAATTTTTATATAAAATATTAAAATAATATATAAAGAATATATAAAGAATATATAAAAATAACAAATTGTTTAGAATTATCTAAATTTTTTCTATTTTAGTAAAATTAAATAAAAATTATTTAATAATGATATGAGAATGGAGAATAACTTCTTTCAAGAGGAAAAGAGTTACTTTCATAAAGGTTCTAAAAGCTTTAGTTTTTTTTTTTTTTTAAGTGTAGTTTTATATGTATACAATAATACAATAGATATATGCTTTCAAAGTTGGAGTCAAATTATAGTTCACAACTATGAGAAATTTGAAGTTGAATTTAATGCTATCAAGAAAAGTAATTAAGTATAATGTTCTTCGGTGGAATTTTTTTTTATTATTTGAAAAGACACATTTACTTGGCCAATGTCTGGGTAAGGGAATTTACTAAAGGAGAAACAACATGTCATTAGATCATGTCATTTAGTTTATAATGATTTTTTATGACACTGGTAAGAGAAAAAAACATTACTCTTTGCTCTTATTTAAAGATTTAGAAGTGTATTTATTTTTAATACATTGACCATGTCATATTAAAAATTTGATCGAAGTATAAAGGTAATTTGTTCAGGTAATATTTGTAAAAGATTTAATATTTTTTATTATTCAAATAAAACATTTTTATATTAAAAATAATATATATATATATATATATATATTAAAAATTATTTTTACGTGGTTCTTCAACTTTTATAATACAATTTAAAATATTACTTAAAAGTTCGGTCAACCTTAATATTCAATAATCTTTTTATCATCAATAAATAAGACAATAAAGATAGATTCATTATTTTAAATGGGACAAATAATATCTTAAAGTCAATAATAAGTTTTTAACCTGTATATCACGTTAACTCTTTTCTAAGGACTTATTTGCACTATCTTGACAAAATGTGTCTAATAAAATTACCACATATTTTCATAATATTAATTTTTTAAAGAATTAAAATTATTCTCATTATTTAATATTCAAAATTTTCTTTTATAGTCTAATAATTATGCTTACGTTTATTTTTTTTAATCATAAAATTCTTATATGCTTTACACATATAAATTAAATAAATACAAAAATAAAGAAGAAGAAATAAATTAAATATCAATAATTACTTTAATACAAAAATAAAGAAAAAAATTTATATAAAAATGATTATGAAATATTTTAAAAAATAAATAATACTAAATTTTTCTAAAAACAATTTTTTTAGCCCATCTTCTATAATTTTAAATTTTTTTATTCAAAACTCAATAATGTTATATCTCATTTTTAATGGAAAGTTCAAAAGAGTACAAGTTATGCTATATGTAAAATAATATATAAAGTGATAAATTTTATAATGAAAAAAGTTATATTTATATTATATATATACAAATATTTTATTATATATATATTTAAAATATAAAATAATAATAAAAAATATATTTTTCCTTACTTTGTAATTATATGTTTTATTAATTTTTTTTATTTTTTTCCTTTATTTGTATCTAATAATTCATAATTTTAAAAAATAAATATTTATATTTTAAATATATATATATATATATATATATATTGATTTTAATAAATTAAAATAAAAATAATAAAAAAACATGAGTATTTGTTAATTACAAAAATTTTCCTTCCAGACTTCACATACAAGAAAATTTCAATCATTACCAAATATATTTTAATCTAAATACTCCTCTATATCTATAAATACCAAGTGCATAAACAACTTTTATAAAAAAACATATAAGAAAATAAATTAAAAAAGTTATAAAAAAAATATATTTTATGCATCTGAATAAAAAAATAATTTTAAATTTCTTAACTACTAGTGCATGTTTTATTTTTTCTATTTTAATCTAGGAAATTTATACAACTCAGACAAGCATAAACTCTTCTCCTAGAGAATGTGCAGCATTTTCTCAGGTTCCCGATTTGTACTAAAATTTGGGTGGAACTCAAAGTCAAAATATAATTTGAGGAGATTTCGTGTGTCTGCAATGGAAGCAGCAGCGGTAGATAGGGTTTCTAATGGTGGTGGCGGAGTAGTTCGCTTCCCGCTATCTGCATCGAGCGCTTTGGTTATTCAGAAAGGAGACATCACCAAATGGTCCATCAATGGTTCTACTGACGCAATAGTGCGTGACTTTTCCTCTCTCATTTTCTCTTTTAAACTAATCTCTCGTCAATCAATGTATTGTATTGCATGATCTCGTCACCTGCAGGTTAATCCAGCCAATGAGAGAATGCTCGGTGGTGGTGGTGCCGACGGAGGTAACTCATTTTTCTGTGGATGGATGCTTTATATATGGTGAATTTATTAGAAAAAAAAAATGAAGTTATTTATTTCTCTTGTTGAAGGGCGCTACTTTCCAACGCTCTTCTGTCACACTCATGCTTTTGTCGTGAATTGTCTTAAATATAATGAAATTATAGAACAGTCCCTAAAGCATTGAATATGTTCATCAGTTTAGTCTCTAAATCAGATATATTGTACTAGCATTGAGAGATAGTTTGAAGGATTTTTGAATGTTTTTAGAGACTGAATTCTAATACTCGGAGATTACATAATTATTTGACTTTAAGGAGTATATAGCGTGTTGGAAGCACTTGTCTTGTTTTAATGGGTGTGACCCCTTCTCTCAGCTATACATAGGGCAGCAGGCCCACAACTTGTTGAAGCATGCCGCACCGTACCTGAAGTTAGGCCTGGAGTTCGGTGCCCAACAGGGGAAGCAAGGATCACACTGTGAGTTCTTCTACTTTAGCACATGGGGATGAGCCAATAAAAAATGTTTTTGAATTTAAAAATGTGTTCTGATTTATTTTAGAAATTGAAGCGTATTTGCAAAAGTTAAAATCACCTTAACTAGTTCTGCTTGTCACTCATGGACCTCGTAGTTGTTGATGTGCAGTGGTTTTATGCTGCCTGCTTCTCATGTTATTCACACTGTTGGCCCAATCTACACAGCTGTTGGTAATCCTGCTGCCTCTCTAGCAAGTGCTTACAGGTATTTCTTCAAAGACGTGTTTGTTCAGCTATTCTTCACTGTTTTAGAATCGAAAAACGTTCATGTTTCATTGTGCTTTGGTTTATTGTCATTACACTTGATTGAGACATTTGTATTATCATTGATTTCCAGAAATACTTTGAGGGTTGCGAAGGAAAACAACATTCGGTATATAGCATTCCCAGCAATATCATGTGGTGTTTATGGGTAGGTTTATGCTAACAAACATCCCCATGTCATTCTAATATACACATTCTTCATTTGTTGATGATCAATATTGGTCAAATAGCAAAAGAAGACTAGTATGAAAAGGTTAGAGACATAGCGTGAGTGCTTGAGATGTAATTGTGTTTCATAATGAAATCCGAAACAAAGTTATTTCCATCATGGCTATTCGTTTCAAAAGTTTGATTGTTGGAACAAAAAACATAACATAGATTAAAATTTCTAACACAATAGCTTTTAAAACATGACAGCCATGCTAAGATTACTAATATAGTCTATTCTCAAACAAAATAGTTTCAATCCGATAGCTCTCAAATCTAATGCAACCTTTGATTTTGTAGTATACCCAAGACTCATTACAATTGTATAATACTGCTTTGTTTCAGATACCCTTATGATGAAGCTGCTACAGTAGCAATTTCTACCATCAAAGAGTTTCCAAATGACTTTAAGGAGGTAAGACATTATTTTGTTTGAATTTTAACATGAATAAACATACCTTTCAATTTGCACTTCTAATAAAATGTAACATTTCAAATTAGATGCGACTGAGTTTGCCTTTGGGTTTCATTTATGTTTAACAAATTTTAGAACCAATTGTATCGTAGCCCTATGATCACTTCAATTGAACTGTGTTTGAAATCACATAAAGGTGGGATTTTGTTGATATGATTTAGAGTCAAAACTAATTTTAGATGTATAGATCTGATATCAAAATGTTTTCAAAAATCAAATATTCATTTAAATAACCCTCAAGGTACCATGAGCTGATTTAGTTTCTGGTCCAGTGAGCTAGGAGAAACCCATCAGAGGTCCAAAGGAAAAACTTTACAAAGGGATTTATTTAAAAATCAAGTTAGTTCCCGTTAGGATCCTCTTTTCAGAATAGAAAATGTATAAACCTAACAACGAACAATAGTCCAAGAACCAAAGTATACAAGTATCGGTTCAAAGGAGATTACTCCTTTACATTGGAATCTGTCCAGTTTTACAAAATATTCAAAAGTCCCCTCTCTACTTAAAGAGGGCTTGTTTATAGGGAATACAATGATTCACAAAACCTGAACTAACTAACTCTCCTAACCTCTTGCAAATTGTTATCCCTTAACCCCTTTTTTTTCCACTTACACACCTGAGACCCTTTTCCAATGAATCTTTGGGCGTGACCCACTCAAAAAATCTCCAAGCAATTGATCCTCAACATTGGGTCTAATCTCCTCTATTTATTGTATTGCTTTCTTAAATCACCCCGTACTGTCACCGAAACACAAGGTTTCAGCTCAGTGTTTCTCTTCTTCTTTATAATTTAACAGTTTGAAAATCAAATCAATTCCTACTTTGTTAATTTTCAGAAAGATAGCATTTATTTTATTTGATTCCCAATTTTATGAGTCCAAACATCCTTACACTTTTTGTGAGGATAATACTTCTATCAAACTTTGTTACTGTGTTGGTACTTGTTACAACTGTTTTTTTGTTTCGTTGAGTGTAACTACTCCGGAGGAAGTTACTAAAGTTTGTTTTTTTCTAGTTAGTCTAACTGTTTTAGTTAGACGTTTATAAAAAAAAAATTGTTACTTAGCTCTGTATATATAGTTTCTGTAAACAGAATCTCGTTTTCTTTTTGTATCTTTACTCTTTACATCATTAGATCAGTGTATCAATATTTTCTATCATGGTATCTAGAGCTCATTGATCCTTTTTCATGGCTTCCACCACCAATCTTGATGGGGCTTCTCCCACAAATCCGGTCTCTTATTTGATTCGAATGGCTGCTTTGGCCTCATTTTCTCATCAAATCACCTGAAAGGCTTGATGAGAAATGTTTTTGTTGTGGCGACAACAAAGTGAACCTGTTATCAAAGCACATAACCTTCATCAATTTGTTGTTTCTCCTTCTACTTCGATGTGTTTTCTTTTTGAAATTGATCGTGGTCAAAATTGCATCAATCCAGAGTATCTTGCTTGGCTTCAATTGCTTCTTCATTTCCTAAATAGTTCCTATTGAGTTCAATGCTTGTTCGTGCTTTGGGTCAATTCATTCTTATGAAGTATGACAAAATACATTCTTATTTCCATCATCAAACTTGTGCCAGAGTGAGACAACTCAGATTTGAACTTTGTTATTGTGTTCTTAGTTTTTTACAACTATCGTTTTCTTTTCTGTTTAGTGTAAACCATAGTTTGTTTCTTCTCTGGTTAGTCTAACTGTTATAGTTTTGATGGTTGCAACTAACTTCTTGCTGAGAGCTCTGTATGTATAGTTTCTGTAGACATCTCAATGTTGCTTTAATTTCAAGTTTGAAGTATGATTGATAAATTTTGTATATAATAAGATAACATTTTTGTGATTTTGGGTTTAGAATATGTAATTACGTATACATGTTTAAATTGTGGTCTATTTAATTACATATACATGTTCAAATTGTGGTTCTGAAAATCCTTACACTCATAGAAGTATGAGATGAGGCAAGACAGCCTGTTGCTTTTATCTGAAAGGTTGATGTTTGATTGATAAATTTTGTATATATAACAAGATGATGTTTCTGTTATTACATGTTTCTGTGATTAGCATTCAGGAATATGTAATTACGTTTAAAATATTTGTCGCAGGTACACTTTGTTCTGTTCTCCCCTGATATTTATGACATTTGGTTAAATAAGGTAGATGAGTTGCTGAAAGATTAGTGTGCCACATCTGTAAACAGCAACTCAATTGAACACCGATTCATCTAGGAGTCGTGGAACAAATGCATTATCAAGTTTCAAATGGTTTTGTAAGGAAAAAAATATAAAAATAATCGTGAAAATTAGAGTGATGATGGTTGCTTTTATGAATAGGATTGTAATTATAATCTGCAGCCTGTCTAAACTTTGGTTTTATTGAAAATCGGAACAGCTGAGTGCATTTTTACCTTTGTATGGTTCAGGCTCCATTTATATCCATTTTAATGCTTAAGGATGTGTTTGATTATGATTTGACTATTTGTGTCTCTATGAAACAATTCTTTTAAGAATTTTTTAGAATTGAAGAGGAAAAAATATGGATTGGGAACACAACTTTAAAAACAGTTTCGAAAGTTAGAAGACAAAAAAGTGGTATTGTTTGATAATTTGTTTCTGAAGACCATTTTATTGATGCCATTGCCAAAATCGCTCAAATTCTCTTTACGTTCATACCCCTATGCTCCTCCATTCCACATTCGAACAATGCTATATCTAAAAGCTACACGAACTTTTCCCTCATCCCCATTTGGTGTTGGAATGACCTGTACCTTTTAATGAACCAACACCTATATTTTGCTGCACTTGGATTTGAACACTCAATTTCGTTCTAGGGAGGTTCTATTCTGTTACCACTCCTTTTTATGTTTTTACACCTTCGTTGTGTTGTTCTTTTCCAAATTCTTGCAAAAAAAAAAAAAATTCGGATCATATTTTAAAGGGTAGTAATATAGTACGGAAACTAACTCTTCTAAAGAAGTTATTTTTTATAAATTGCCAAAATTAGTTCCTGTATAACTGCATTACAAAAATTAATTTGTAATATAGAAAATAGTTTTTGAAAGATTTTTGAGAAGGGGGAAAAGGGTTTCGTACCGGAGATTACATGCTTAACAAAAACATAAGAGAAAGCAGGAGAGGAATTAAATGGTGGTGGGGTTTCCTGCAATATGAAGGGGGTTGTTGAAAGGAAAAGGGAAGGGAGAAGGGTAGGTATTACGATCATGAAGTGTAAGGTGAGAAATAACTAACCGATATAAAGATAATAAGATACTTTTGGTTTGAAATTGGAAAACGAATTTTGAAGCATATATTAAGAAGGCTTAAACTTAGTGTGGATTTAATTATAATAAGTTATTCAACTTGTTTCTAAACAAATATTAATATTATTGTACATTAGGATAATTCACTTTTCTTTTTAATTGTTTCAAGATCTTCCTTATCTTCTCTTCAACCTCTTTAGTCTTGTATCTTGTTAATGTTCCATTTGTAACCTCTTGTATTTGTATAATTATTTTTTACTTTTCTTTCTCTTTAATAATGGATTTTGGATGTTAAATACTCTCCTTAGCTCTTCATTCATCTTCTCTCTTTGAAAAGAATTGATTTGTATCATCTATATTAAAAGATCAAATTATTGACATTGAAATTATGGCTAACACTATAATGATTAAGAAGATGTATAAATAAAAACATTATCATTACTACTTTCTAGCGTTGGGAAGGAAATATTTGTTTGTAGGAATATGAATTTTTCCCTTTCTTATTTGCATACCTTTCATATTTAACTATATTCTTTTATATTTGTTCTCTAACCTTAATAGATAAATGTTAATTGACAATTTTACCTGAGAATTTAATGTATATTATGTATGTAAAATTGTACGCTTTTATTTCCTTTATATTGTAAATATTATATATATTTAAATATTCATCATAGCTAATATGTTAAAATTATAATTATTTTTTTAATGTTAGGAAAGAAGATAGTTTTTAAATAAACTTTCATCTCTTCATCAACTCAAAAGTTTCAAGTCAAATCATAATGGTCTAAACTATTTCACAAAACTTGAAGATATCATTTTGCAGTTAAGTGTATCAATCATAGAAATATAGTTTATAGTTTGAAGTATAAATTTTATTTAATATTCACTCATTCTAAAATTTATTTTTTATTTTGAAATAAATTGATATTTTTCTTATAATTTACATATGATATTAAAAATAAATATTAACTTTATTAATATAATTTAAATTTTAAAATATTTTCTATTTTATTTAAAAATATTTGTATTTTTGAATTAGTTAACTTTTTAATGTTCAATTAGATTAAAATTGACTTAATAATTTATTAGTCTAACATAAATAGACCAAAATATAATTTATTTAAAATAAATATTAGATTCCATCATAATTTTTTTTACTTAATGTAAAATATCAAACATTATATCTTACATTTTAACCGCTTTACTTATTGAACTTAAACAACTTTTCTAAAAATAATTCATATAATTTCATTCTCACATACCATAAACTTTAAGGATGATATAAATCTGGTTTAACCCACTATAATTTGATTAGATTTATTTCGTCCATTATCATGATTACAATTGCTTTTTCTTAGAATATATTATACCAATTCGTGTTCAAATTATTCTTCAAGTTAATTGAAATTTATGAAATATTTAAAAATATATATATTTGTCACATACGGAATGAGAAAATTTCCAAAAGATGGACATACTATGCCCAAATATAGAAACATGATAAGAGAAAAAATCTCCAATATCTCATTATAAAAAGAAAAAATAAAAAAATTCAAAGTCAATAATTATTATATGGGTGATCCTATAACATGTCTTTGTCCCTTTAGAAGCCACTTGTATGTGATAATATATGTAATTAATTAATGACTCAAGTACGTAGTTAGATTAGACAAACTTATTTGAAAAGAAAACTCATTCATTTGGTATATTGGTCTGGGCCCTAATCATGAAAGACAGTGAGATTAAGAAAATGAATATTTTAAAGAAGGGGTTGTGTGAGTAATCACAGGTTTGAGCCTTTGAGAGAGAGCACTGCTTGCAGAAGATGGTGCCAAAGCCAGATTTCATTCAGGCAAGGGATGGCATGTCACATCACATCACACACAGTTCATCATACCATGTTGTGCTCATCTCGGACATTCTGCAGAATTTCCAACAAAACATTATCTGACACATTACCCATTTTACACCAATTTACTCTCATCAAATTTCTATTATTTCAACCAAATATTATCAACTTAACTTCAAAATGAAAATACTATTATGCCATACAATTTACCAAATATACTCTTTTACGTAACTTCTTATTCAAACTCCTCAGCAAAATAAATAGTTTGTTAATGATAACAAATTTTATTATTCCTAATAGGATTTTCAATTAAATTTGTTTATTCAGATATTGGAATAAAACATTAATTGCTTAAAATAACTTTTTATTTAAATAATCTATGTGTTATAGTTATTTATAAAGATAAGAAAATAAAAAAAAGGAAGAGAGAGTGAATTTGTTAAAAAATTATTAGAGATATTGTTTTAAGAAAAAAATCAAATATTTTATTATAGGTATTATGTATGAGTTATTGGTCAGAAATGTTTATTTAAACAAATTTGTTTTAATTTTAAATAATTTTTTTTATTTTTAAGCCATTCAAATATGAAATTTATAATAAGATATTTATAAATAATTCTTGTTAACAATTATTTTATAAATGTTCTAAAAAAATTTCTAATAAAATAAAATTAATATTAAATTATTTTAAAATGACCTGAGATAATAAATTTTTATTTTGTATTTTTTAAAATAAAAAATAACTTACATAATCTACTCTTATAAAAAATATGCTAATATTTAGAATTAATTTTAATGACGTTGAAATATGAAAATATTTCTCAAATGATGAGATATAATTAAAAATATTTTTTAAGACAGAGAGTATCTTGTGAAAATATTTTTTTTAATTTCATGTAAATTAAAAATATAATAATAGTATAAGATATATAATTCTGATATTCCTGAACACCTTTTTAATTATTTTTAATTGATTGATGTATTTATATATTTGTGTTATGTAAGAATATATCTATTTAAAGAGAAGCTAAAAAGATTACTTTTATTTTGGTGAAATGACTTTATAAAGTCAAATAAAGAATTAAGTTGTTAACACGATTACTGAAAATGCAAGTTCAACACTCATTTGGTTATAGAAGATATAAAATTAACTTCATATTATTGAACATAATTGAAACTCATGGCTCAATCAAATTTAGCCACGAAGTTTATGTTAAGATGGATGTCACAGTACTGGTGTTGATTGATAATGAATAATTGTTTTTTAAAATGACTTTATTACTAGTTCACAGTTGAAATGAAATCTTGTGCATGCGCAAGATTAGATTTCAATTCAAATTATTGAACCCTAACGTGACTGTTTGAGAGGGCCATGTGTTTTCTTTCCTGCAAAGAGAGCTTTAATTGAAATGAAAAAACAAAATTTGGTATTAGCATAAGAAAGTAATGATTGGTGATAAAGACCAAGTGTTGATTTGACAATATCATTTTCATGAAAAATGTTTCGAATCAAGGTTACAGTTTTTTTTAATGGTTATGGCTTCCATATTTTATTATTTGTTAAGATTTTATATGTATATTTTTTTAAAAAGTCTGATACTATGTTTTAGATAAGAAGATTTATAGTTGGATTTTAGATTAAAAAATAATCAAAACAAATATAAAATTTAAACCTTCGTACTTTTTTTTTATCAAACACGACCAATAAAAAATAAGAATTTTCAACGAAAAAGATAATTAATTACAAAATCATATAAAAGTATAGACTTTCCCTTCCACTTTAACTTTTAATATTTTAATTTTTATGTCTCTTTCCATTTATCACTTTACTTGCCAATGATAAACTATGTACATTTACATTTTTAAAAACTAAAACACTAATCATCGACGTAAAAGAATATTAAAAAAAAAATGCTACAAATGATGAAATGTGGACAAATGGGTTGAAACATGATTAGTATCAACAGTTACGAAAGTCAAGATCATATTTATTGAACTAACTTCTAATCACGATTTTAGTATGAGGAGGACAATGTAATGACCCATCATTGTTCTTAAACCAACACAAA